AGTATCTGCTCGGAATGGTCGCCGGTCCATTCTGGGTTCTAGTGGCCCTAGTCTGCCCACTAGAGTGTGCACATGGTGTCCGGCATTAGTTCTTGCCGGCAGATGAGGTAACCGTCAGGGTCATGTTTGCGTGACGATATCAGATTCATGTTCATGTTATTACCGATTTCATGTTGAGGTTATGTATATGCCGATATCATGATGTTGTTATTATTTTCAATGTTTACATTAGTATGAGTTTCCACGGAGCGCAGTGCCATAGTACTCATTTTTCACTTTTATCATGTTTTTCAGGTCAGGATGTCGGGCAGGGAGCGTGAGATGACGAAGGCTTCAGGACATTTATGATTTGACTGTATATAAATATTATGACGATTTACGTTTCCGCTGATGATGGTTTTTATGAACTTATGTTTTGACTGGACTTTTGGAAAACTTTATGCTTTCAGTAACAGTATGATTTTATAAAAAATTAAGATAACGGTTTTCCAAATTAAGTCACGTTTTTAAGGTAGCACCCCGAATCAGTTTTCGCAAAGTAAAAGAATTATTTTTGAATAACTTTGCGAAATTTTCGCACTCTGATTTTAAGATAAGGCGGGGTGTTACAATTGGTATCAGAGCACGTTTCTGCGTCTCTGAAAAGTTTTCAGTCAGTAATTTTTAGAAAAACCTGAACCGTCACGCTCACGCCTCGCCGACTCCAGGTAAGCTGATTCAGTTTTCAGTTATAAACATATTACTTTGTCTATGCTCAGAAATCAGTAATCAGACTTAGTTAAGATGCTCGAATCAGGTTCATACTTTAGAGTTCAGATATGACTCTAGAATTCAGTACATTCATGACTCTAGACTTTAGTATCTTTCGATATGACTCTAGAGTTCCTCAGGTTTCACGTCAGTAATTATCGGCCATTTTTGGCAACTCGTCAAGAGATCTGTGTGCCTTAGTAATCAGTCAGAATATTATCACGTGTTCAATAATTTTGAACTTTCTCAATGTTCAGATGCCGCCACGTAGGGAACCCGACCATTCGGCTCCTACTCAGATTACAGTAGTCCCACAGTTCTGTGACTATCATGTTGAGAAATTCTCTGGGCAGGGAGATCCCCGTATCGTGGACGAGTGAATTTAGAACCTTAGAAAGGGATTAAGTTTAAGAACTCTAGGTTCAATTCTAGATTTACTCAAGTCAAGTTAGCAACTTGTCAGGATATTTGTAAGCACTTGTGCTAAACAAATCTTAATAATCATGTTTCTCAGATATTTTTATCGAGAACTGCCATTTTGTCAATCAATTGGCATGCTTCATGGAGAAATTCCTTGATTTAATTCGAGGAATAGACTCAAATTTCCTAAGTCAGATCA